ACAAAGCCAACCAACTGATTTCACACACCTTGACCACTGAAATATGGACTGAGCTACTGTAAGACCACACCCAAATGCCTTCTCCTGTAGTCGCTATTCTATGCTGATTAAGCAGTGAACTCTATAAGCATGGATGGGCCATTGATTCAAAGCCATTATAATCCACTCCCTGACAAACTTAGCCTTGTAGTAGAAATGCATTCGGTCAAACTTCAAGAGTGCTTACACTCTATCATAGGGTCACACGTGTTGACAAACAAACCTCTGCAGATCAAACATACACAAACACACACACAAACAGAAAGAGCGAGAAAAACACTTTCAGAAAAGAAAGCAGTTCATTATATCTCCAAAATGAAACAAAATAAAATCCCTTTTCTGTGTACCTAGAGCACAGTAGTAATCTAATTTAACTGTGCTCATCAAATAGGAAACTCCACCCCCAATTAAATAGAGAAGGGATTCTCTGGATCCAGAAAGACGATCCAAGCCATAATCCAATTTCATGGAAACTAGAACCTTGAAGTGTGTGAGGTCTGTCGCTGGATGTGGTAAAATGGCGGCAAAAATCGGCATATGCACACCGGAGCACACGAACACACACACACACCCAAACACACACACACACACACACGGAAACACACGCAGATGTACCTCCTCTGGTATGCAATAAACTGACGCTCCTCTATGTCCTCATACACACTCAAGGGGAGACAAAGAGAAAGAGAAGAAGAGACAGTAGAGAACCCCTACAGGGATCAGAGAGCATAATCCTGATTGAATTTCCGGGCCCAGTGTAGGTGTGGCTTGTGGATGGGCGTGGCCACAGTTCAGCTCTGGCAGACCATAAAAGCGCATCAACTGTGCAAGCAGGCACCTGTCGCAGTGACGTCCCTGAACGACTGAGGCAGTCAGAGGTGACGCTTGGTGACCAAGAGACATGGCTGAAACGGAATTGGGAAAGTTGGAATCCGTGTGTGCTGATGCCCTCGGCACTTCTCCGTCCAAGCCAAAGCAGCCAGGAGAGCAGAAGGGAGAAGAAACAGGAGGTAAGCCCGGCAGGATCTCTGAGGCCTCTGCAGTGAGAGAAGGTGGGCTGTGCATGGTAGCAGGGATTTGACAGACTGACGGGCTAGGGAAACAGAAGGGACGGGTCTGAGAGAGATGAGGAATGTGGGAGGCTGCACTGGGGCTACCATGGGGAAATCCCAAAATAGGTCGGTGCCCGAGGGGTGTTGGTGTGCCGGGTGGGTGAGCAGGATGGACTGTGCACTTGGTAGGTGTTGGTTACTTGCCAATGGCTGTGCCGTGCTGGCTGCTGAGATTTCCCTGGCGTCTGGATGTTCAGGGGTGGTACTAAGTCAGTTAGTTAGTTACTGATTTAGTTTGGCAGATCGGGAACATCCCAAGTAGCTGAGACTCTAGGGCAAGCAGACCGATTATCTAATCAGTCTTGGATCAAGGCCTTGTCAAGTGACATCTAAGAATTGCTTGGGGAGAAGGCCTAGGGTCTAATTACTGATCACCTCTTCTCACCTCAGGAAAGCATGGACAGAGTCGCCAGGTCAAGGGGCCTAGGCACATGGGACCTAGGCCAAGCTCGGGTGGTTCGTCCAGCAGACTTCAGCACGACAGCGCAAGAGGCCACCTTGAAGTGAAGAGGAGGGCGAGCCTACCTCCTGACAGAGACAGAAGAAGGCACAAGCCCGAGTCTACCCCAGGAAAACAACACTGGGAAAGAGGTAGGTGTGGGCTGGGCCGTGAGGGTCTCAGGGGTGAGGGCAAAAGAGCCTCAGGAGGTAAGCAAACACTGGAGAGGGAGGACCTGGGTGCACATCCCTGGCTCCATCCATGGGGCTTCAAGTGCTAAAGAGCTGAGAGGACAGACAGGGTGTTGGATGTGCCCTGCCCCGTACTGGTTAAGCAATAGGAGCCCTTTCCATAGCTGTGAGGGTGCGGGGGTGGGTGCTGAATTCTATGGGATCTCCAAAGTGAGTAACTGACCCTTCTCTGCCACAGATTCCCATTCCCGGCACACAGGACAGCGCGTCAAGGACAGAAGATCCCACCCAATATCTCCTGTGAGGCCAATCAAGCGCAGACGGTCTGGAGATACCACTGCAGCTGCAAACAACTCTCCAAAGAGGCGCACACAACATTTTCCAGAAGTCGACTCTTCCAGGACACCCTCACCAATGTCCAGAGTCATGGCCCGCATGGGTGCCTTGGAGGTGGCCCTGGAAGAACTGCGGGCACCAGGCGGGGCCTTCCTGGCTGAGCCCTCGAGCAGCAGGGAGCCCGGGGTCTCACAGCGGGCATGGCTGTCTTGACAGCTGTCGCATGCCGGGGCAGCGCTGCACTGGACGATGCACACAGTCAATGCCATCTTGGCTGAGAGGCTTGGCTTCCCAGATACCCAGGGCCTTGGGCCGATCTGAGCCAAGCCCTGCCCAGCCCTGCCGAGCCCGGCCGAGCCCTGTGGATCACAGATGATCCCTGCCGATCCCAGCCGAGCCCAGCTGAGCCCAACTGAGCCCAGAAGAGACCTGCCGAGCCCAGCCGAGCCCAGCTGAGCCCAGCCAAGCAGATCCCAGATGACGACATGAGAAGACGAAAGATGAGAGAAGAAAAGGGAAGACAAGAGAAACAGCATGTCTTGAGCCCAGATGAGGAGCCAAGAGACTCCACCTCAGAGCCTTGAGTCTGGTCGGCCTCAATGACACATAACCTGAATCTGTACGGTCCCCTGGAAAGAAGAGACACTGGAGACTTGGACTGTGCAAAGAGACCTTCGCTGCTGGTGACTACATTTCTACCTGCACGAGCTTTCGGGAAAAGACTCTGGAAAAGGACCCAGCTCTTAGAATGAAATCGGCAAATGGAACTTGGAGACATCCTACACACACTCTCCCACTCCTTTGGACAGGGTCACTCACTCATGCCAACTGGGGCTTGAAATTAGTTTCTTTCTGCTGGACTCGTAGGAACTGCCTGAAATCCAGACTGGACATGAGATCAGAAAACGGCACTGCCATCTACCTCGAACATGTTCCCTTGGGTATTGATCAACGTTGGGCCAACAACCACACACACTTCACCAGACTTTTCCTTCTCAGAGAGTGGGTCCTTGTGCTGGATTAAGTCTCACCCCTCCTTAAAGATTTAGGTTGTTGCTATTTTTAACATGCAGGAGCATTTTTGTTTTGTACAGCTTCATCATGCCTCTGTTTTTCACTCTTTTGTTTTATATTGTATCAAGATTTCATTGACCAACATAGAATGCTTGAGATATCCCTTCATCGCTCAATAAAATATGTATGCTTGTAACTATTTGTCTGTGTTGATTCACTACAAGTAAATCATAAGATATCTAATTTCCTTCATTCTCTCTCTCCCTCCATCCCCCTCTCTCTCTTTCTCTCTTTGTATGAGTGCTGTAATTGTGTGACTTTGCATGTGTGTATCTGTGTGGGGCTGTGTGTCTGTATCAATCGGGAAGTCCCCCTCCCAGCACTCCAATCCCCAGACACAGCCGGTGCATGCTTGTCCTTGTATGTGTGGGTTTGTGTGTGTGTGTGTGTGTGTGTGTGTGTGTGTGAGAGAGAGAGAGAGAGAGAGAGAGAGAGAGAGAGAGGATGAGAGAGATAACAAGAGAGCAAGCAGGATCAAGCACTGCATGGGGTGTACTGCTGTGGGAGTGCATTCCAAACGCCTCCAAGTTAGGGATCATTTCCCAGCTTGTGAGTGTCATTGGTTTCCTTCCTCATTGTGTGTTCTTTGAGTTGAACTGGGACCATCAGATCCAGTAGACAATCTTGTTAGTTTGTTAGAGCCTGGGCCTCAGTAGGTGGTTCTGCATGTCCTGTAACTTGCTCTGTACACGAGGCTGGCTACTTATTGACATACATCGGCATGCCAGTGACTCCTGAGTGCCTATAATTAAGACCTGTTCAGACAATGTACTCTACTAGACCTGAAGACCTCTCTTCTTTCCTTCTTTCTGTCCTTCCTTCCTTCCTCCCTTCTTCCCCTCCTTGCCTCATTCATTCCTTCTTTTTCCCTCTTTCTTTCTACCTCCCTTCTTTCCAGTCCCAGGCAAAAGGTCTCATGGTGGGTAGAGACACGATAGGCTTGACAGCTCTTGTACAAGAGAGCATTTCATTGGGGCTTGCCTGCATTTGCCAACTTAGTCCATTATCCTTCATGACGGAAACATGGTGGCACTCAGACTGGCATGCTGATGGAAAGTAGCAGAGAACACTACATCTTCATGTCCAGACAGCAGAAAGTCAAAGTCCCTGAGTATGGCTGGGGATTTTGAAACCACAAAGCCAACCAACTGATTTCACACACCTTGACCACTGAAATATGGACTGAGCTACTGTAAGACCACACCCAAAAGCCTTCTCCTGTAGTCGCTATTCTATGCTGATTAAGCAGTGAACTCTATAAGCATGGATGGGCCATTGATTCAAAGCCATTATAATCCACTCCCTGACAAACTTAGCCTTGTAGTAGAAATGCATTCGGTCAAACTTCAAGAGTGCTTACACTCTATCATAGGGTCACCAGTGTTGACAAACAAACCTCTGCAGATCAAACACACACACACACACACACACACACACACAAACAAACAGAAAGAGCAAGAAAAACACTTTCAGAAAAGAAAGCAGTTCATTATATCTCCAAAATGAAACAAAATAAAATCCCTTTTCTGTGTACCAGGAGCACAGTAGTAATCTAATTTAACTGTGCTCATCAAATAGGAAACTCCACCCCCAATTAAATAGAGAAGGGATTATCTGGATCCAGAAAGACGATCCCAGCCATAATCCAATTTCATGGAAACTAGAACCTTGAAGTGTGTGAGGTCTGTCGCTGGATGTGGTAAAATGGCGGCAAAAATCTGCATATGCACACCGGAGCACACGAACACACACACACACACACACACACACACACACACACGGAAACACACGCAGATGTACCTCCTCTGGTATGCAATAAACTGACGCTCCTCTATGCCCTCATACACACTCAAGGGGAGACAAAGAGAAAGAGAAGAAGAGACAGTAGAGAACCCCTACAGGGATCAGAGAGCATAATCCTGATTGAATTTCCGGGCCCAGTTTGGGTGTGGCTTGTGGATGGGCGTGGCCACAGTTCAGCTCTGGCAGACCATAAAAGCGCATCAACTGTGCAACAAGGCACCTGTCCCAGTGACGTCCCTGAACGACTGAGGCAGTCAGAGGTGACTCTTGGTGACCAAGAGACATGGCTGAAACGGAATTTCGAAAGTTGGAATCCGTGTGTGCTGATGCCCTCGGCACTTCTCCGTCCAAGCCAAAGCAGCCAGGAGAGCAGAAGGGAGAAGAAACAGGAGGTAAGCCCGGCAGTATCTCTGAGGCCTCTGCAGTGAGAGAAGGTGGGCTGTGCATGGTAGCAGGGATTTGACAGACTGACTGGCTAGGGAAACAGAAGGGACGGGTCTGAGAGAGATGAGGAATGTGGGAGGCTGCACTGGGGCTACCATGGGGAAATCCCAAAATAGGTCGGTGCCCGAGGGGTGTTGGTGGGCCGGGTGGGTGAGCAGGACGGAGTGTGCACTGGTAAGGTGCTGGTTACTTGCCAATGGCTGTGCCATGCTGGCTGCTGAGATTTCCCTGGCGTCTGAATGTTCAGGGATAGTACTAATTCAGTTATTTAGTTAGTTACTGATTTAGTTTGGCAGATCGGGAACATCCCAAGTAGCTGAGACTCTAGGGCAAACAGAGCGATTATCTAATCAGTCTTGGACCAAGGCTTTGTCAAGTGACATCTAAGAATTGCTTGGGGAGAAGGCCTAGGGTCTAATCACTGATCACCTCTTCTCACCTCAGGAAAGCGTGGACAGAGTCGCCAGGTCAAGGAGCCTAGGCACATGGGAACTAGGCCAAGCTCGGGTGGTTCGTCCCGCAGACTTCAGCACCACGGCTCAAGAGGCCACCTTGAAGTGAAGAGGAGGGCGAGCTTACCTCCCGACAGAGACAGAAGGAGGCACAAGCCCGAGTCTACCCCAGGAAAACAACACTGGGAAAGAGGTAGGTGTGGGCTTGGCCGTGCGGGGCTCAGGGGTGAGGGCAAAAGAGCCTCAGGAGGTAGGCCAACACTGGAGAGGGAGGACATGGGTGCTCATCCCTGGCTCCATCCATGGGGCTTCAAGTGCTAAAGAGCTGAGAGGACAGACAGGATGTTGGATGTGCCCTGCCTCGGGCCTGGTGAAGCAAAAGGAGCCCCTTCCGTAGCTGTGAGGGTGCGGGGGTGGGTGCTGAATTCTATGGGGTCTCCAAAGTGAGTAACTGACTCTATCTCTGCCACAGATTCCCATTCCAAGCACACAGGACAGCGCGTCAAGGACAGAAGGTCCCACCCAAGGTCTCCTGTGAGGCCAATCAAGCGCAGACGGTCTGGAGACACCACTGCAGCTGCAAACAACTCTCCCAAGAGGCGCACACAACATTTTCCAGAAGCCGGCTCTTCCAGGACACCCTCACCGCTGTCCAGAGTCATGGCCCGCATGGGTGCCTTGGAGGTGGCCCTGGAAGAACTGCGGGCCCCAGGCGGGGCCTTCCTGGCTGAGCCCTCGAGCAGCAGGGAGCCCGGGGTCTCACAGCGGGCATGGCTGTCTTGGCAGCTGTCGCATGCCGGGGCAGCGCTGCACTGGACGATGCACACAGTCAATGCCATCTTGGCTGAGAGGCTTGGCTTCCCAGATATCCAGGGCCTTGGGCCGAACTGAGCGGAGCCCTGCCGAGCCCTGCCGAGTCCTGCCGAGCCCTGCCGAGCCCTACCGAGCCCTGCCGAGCCCGGCGGAGCGCTGCCGAGCCCTGCCGATCCCAGCCGAGCCCAGCTGAGCCCAACTGAGCCCAGAAGAGACCTGCCGAGCCCAGCCGAGCCCAGCTGAGCCCAGCCAAGCAGATCCCAGATGACGACATGAGAAGACGAAAGATGAGAGAAGAAAAGGGAAGACAAGAGAAACAGCATGTCTTGAGCCCAGATGAGGAGCCAAGAGACTCCACCTCAGAGCCTTGAGTCTGGTCGGCCTCAATGACACATAACCTGAATCTGTACGGTCCCCTGGAAAGAAGAGACACTGGAGACTTGGACTGTGCAAAGAGACCTTCGCTGCTGGTGACTACATTTCTACCTGCACGAGCTTTCGGGAAAAGACTCTGGAAAAGGACCCAGCTCTTAGAATGAAATCGGCAAATGGAACTTGGAGACATCCTACACACACTCTCCCACTCCTTTGGACAGGGTCACTCACTCATGCCAACTGGGGCTTGAAATTAGTTTCTTTCTGCTGGACTCGTAGGAACTGCCTGAAATCCAGACTGGACATGAGATCAGAAAACGGCACTGCCATCTACCTCGAACATGTTCCCTTGGGTATTGATCAACGTTGGGCCAACAACCACACACACTTCACCAGACTTTTCCTTCTCAGAGAGTGGGTCCTTGTGCTGGATTAAGTCTCACCCCTCCTTAAAGATTTAGGTTGTTGCTATTTTTAACATGCAGGAGCATTTTTGTTTTGTACAGCTTCATCATGCCTCTGTTTTTCACTCTTTTGTTTTATATTGTATCAAGATTTCATTGACCAACATAGAATGCTTGAGATATCCCTTCATCGCTCAATAAAATATGTATGCTTGTAACTATTTGTCTGTGTTGATTCACTACAAGTAAATCATAAGATATCTAATTTCCTTCATTCTCTCTCTCCCTCCATCCCCCTCTCTCTCTTTCTCTCTTTGTATGAGTGCTGTAATTGTGTGACTTTGCATGTGTGTATCTGTGTGGGGCTGTGTGTCTGTATCAATCGGGAAGTCCCCCTCCCAGCACTCCAATCCCCAGACACAGCCGGTGCATGCTTGTCCTTGTATGTGTGGGTTTGTGTGTGTGTGTGTGTGTGTGTGTGTGAGAGAGAGAGAGAGAGAGAGAGAGAGAGAGAGAGAGAGAGAGAGGATGAGAGAGATAACAAGAGAGCAAGCAGGATCAAGCACTGCATGGGGTGTACTGCTGTGGGAGTGCATTCCAAACGCCTCCAAGTTAGGGATCATTTCCCAGCTTGTGAGTGTCATTGGTTTCCTTCCTCATTGTGTGTTCTTTGAGTTGAACTGGGACCATCAGATCCAGTAGACAATCTTGTTAGTTTGTTAGAGCCTGGGCCTCAGTAGGTGGTTCTGCATGTCCTGTAACTTGCTCTGTACACGAGGCTGGCTACTTATTGACATACATCGGCATGCCAGTGACTCCTGAGTGCCTATAATTAAGACCTGTTCAGACAATGTACTCTACTAGACCTGAAGACCTCTCTTCTTTCCTTCTTTCTGTCCTTCCTTCCTTCCTCCCTTCTTCCCCTCCTTGCCTCATTCATTCCTTCTTTTTCCCTCTTTCTTTCTACCTCCCTTCTTTCCAGTCCCAGGCAAAAGGTCTCATGGTGGGTAGAGACACGATAGGCTTGACAGCTCTTGTACAAGAGAGCATTTCATTGGGGCTTGCCTGCATTTGCCAACTTAGTCCATTATCCTTCATGACGGAAACATGGTGGCACTCAGACTGGCATGCTGATGGAAAGTAGCAGAGAACACTACATCTTCATGTCCAGACAGCAGAAAGTCAAAGTCCCTGAGTATGGCTGGGGATTTTGAAACCACAAAGCCAACCAACTGATTTCACACACCTTGACCACTGAAATATGGACTGAGCTACTGTAAGACCACACCCAAAAGCCTTCTCCTGTAGTCGCTATTCTATGCTGATTAAGCAGTGAACTCTATAAGCATGGATGGGCCATTGATTCAAAGCCATTATAATCCACTCCCTGACAAACTTAGCCTTGTAGTAGAAATGCATTCGGTCAAACTTCAAGAGTGCTTACACTCTATCATAGGGTCACCAGTGTTGACAAACAAACCTCTGCAGATCAAACACACACACACACACACACACACACACACACAAACAAACAGAAAGAGCAAGAAAAACACTTTCAGAAAAGAAAGCAGTTCATTATATCTCCAAAATGAAACAAAATAAAATCCCTTTTCTGTGTACCAGGAGCACAGTAGTAATCTAATTTAACTGTGCTCATCAAATAGGAAACTCCACCCCCAATTAAATAGAGAAGGGATTATCTGGATCCAGAAAGACGATCCCAGCCATAATCCAATTTCATGGAAACTAGAACCTTGAAGTGTGTGAGGTCTGTCGCTGGATGTGGTAAAATGGCGGCAAAAATCTGCATATGCACACCGGAGCACACGAACACACACACAAACACACACACACACACACACACACACACGGAAACACACGCAGATGTACCTCCTCTGGTATGCAATAAACTGACGCTCCTCTATGCCCTCATACACACTCAAGGGGAGACAAAGAGAAAGAGAAGAAGAGACAGTAGAGAACCCCTACAGGGATCAGAGAGCATAATCCTGATTGAATTTCCGGGCCCAGTTTGGGTGTGGCTTGTGGATGGGCGTGGCCACAGTTCAGCTCTGGCAGACCATAAAAGCGCGTCAACTGTGCAACAAGGCACCTGTCGCAGTGACGTCCCTGAACGACTGAGGCAGTCAGAGGTGACTCTTGGTGACCAAGAGACATGGCTGAAACGGAATTTCGAAAGTTGGAATCCGTGTGTGCTGATGCCCTCGGCACTTCTCCGTCCAAGCCAAAGCAGCCAGGAGAGCAGAAGGGAGAAGAAACAGGAGGTAAGCCCGGCAGTATCTCTGAGGCCTCTGCAGTGAGAGAAGGTGGGCTGTGCATGGTAGCAGGGATTTGACAGACTGACTGGCTAGGGAAACAGAAGGGACGGGTCTGAGAGAGATGAGGAATGTGGGAGGCTGCACTGGGGCTACCATGGGGAAATCCCAAAATAGGTCGGTGCCCGAGGGGTGTTGGTGGGCCGGGTGGGTGAGCAGGACGGAGTGTGCACTGGTAAGGTGCTGGTTACTTGCCAATGGCTGTGCCGTGCTGGCTGCTGAGATTTCCCTGGCGTCTGGATGTTCAGGGGTGGTACTAATTCGGTTATTTAGTTAGTTACTGATTTAGTTTGGCAGATCGGGAACATCCCAAGTAGCTGAGACTCTAGGGCAAACAGAGCGATTATCTAATCAGTCTTGGACCAAGGCTTTGTCAAGTGACATCTAAGAATTGCTTGGGGAGAAGGCCTAGGGTCTAATCACTGATCACCTCTTCTCACCTCAGGAAAGCGTGGACAGAGTCGCCAGGTCAAGGAGCCTAGGCACATGGGAACTAGGCCAAGCTCGGGTGGTTCGTCCCGCAGACTTCAGCACCACGGCTCAAGAGGCCACCTTGAAGTGAAGAGGAGGGCGAGCTTACCTCCCGACAGAGACAGAAGGAGGCACAAGCCCGAGTCTACCCCAGGAAAACAACACTGGGAAAGAGGTAGGTGTGGGCTTGGCCGCACGGGGCTCAGGGGTGAGGGCAAAAGAGCCTCAGGAGGTAGGCCAACACTGGAGAGGGAGGACATGGGTGCTCATCCCTGGCTCCATCCATGGGGCTTCAAGTGCTAAAGAGCTGAGAGGACAGACAGGATGTTGGATGTGCCCTGCCTCGGGCCTGGTGAAGCAAAAGGAGCCCCTTCCGTAGCTGTGAGGGTGCGGGGGTGGGTGCTGAATTCTATGGGGTCTCCAAAGTGAGTAACTGACTCTATCTCTGCCACAGATTCCCATTCCAAGCACACAGGACAGCGCGTCAAGGACAGAAGGTCCCACCCAAGGTCTCCTGTGAGGCCAATCAAGCGCAGACGGTCTGGAGACACCACTGCAGCTGCAAACAACTCTCCCAAGAGGCGCACACAACATTTTCCAGAAGCCGGCTCTTCCAGGACACCCTCACCGCTGTCCAGAGTCATGGCCCGCATGGGTGCCTTGGAGGTGGCCCTGGAAGAACTGCGGGCCCCAGGCGGGGCCTTCCTGGCTGAGCCCTCGAGCAGCAGGGAGCCCGGGGTCTCACAGCGGGCATGGCTGTCTTGGCAGCTGTCGCATGCCGGGGCAGCGCTGCACTGGACGATGCACACAGTCAATGCCATCTTGGCTGAGAGGCTTGGCTTCCCAGATATCCAGGGCCTTGGGCCGAACTGAGCGGAGCCCTGCCGAGCCCTGCCGAGTCCTGCCGAGCCCTGCCGAGCCCTACCGAGCCCTGCCGAGCCCGGCGGAGCGCTGCCGAGCCCTGCCGAGCCCAGCCGAGCCCAGCTGAGCCCAACTGAGCCCAGAAGAGACCTGCCGAGCCCAGCCGAGCCCAGCTGAGCCCAGCCAAGCAGATCCCAGATGACGACATGAGAAGACGAAAGATGAGAGAAGAAAAGGGAAGACAAGAGAAACAGCATGTCTTGAGCCCAGATGAGGAGCCAAGAGACTCCACCTCAGAGCCTTGAGTCTGGTCGGCCTCAATGACACATAACCTGAATCTGTACGGTCCCCTGGAAAGAAGAGACACTGGAGACTTGGACTGTGCAAAGAGACCTTCGCTGCTGGTGACTACATTTCTACCTGCACGAGCTTTCGGGAAAAGACTCTGGAAAAGGACCCAGCTCTTAGAATGAAATCGGCAAATGGAACTTGGAGACATCCTACACACACTCTCCCACTCCTTTGGACAGGGTCACTCACTCATGCCAACTGGGGCTTGAAATTAGTTTCTTTCTGCTGGACTCGTAGGAACTGCCTGAAATCCAGACTGGACATGAGATCAGAAAACGGCACTGCCATCTACCTCGAACATGTTCCCTTGGGTATTGATCAACGTTGGGCCAACAACCACACACACTTCACCAGACTTTTCCTTCTCAGAGAGTGGGTCCTTGTGCTGGATTAAGTCTCACCCCTCCTTAAAGATTTAGGTTGTTGCTATTTTTAACATGCAGGAGCATTTTTGTTTTGTACAGCTTCATCATGCCTCTGTTTTTCACTCTTTTGTTTTATATTGTATCAAGATTTCATTGACCAACATAGAATGCTTGAGATATCCCTTCATCGCTCAATAAAATATGTATGCTTGTAACTATTTGTCTGTGTTGATTCACTACAAGTAAATCATAAGATATCTAATTTCCTTCATTCTCTCTCTCCCTCCATCCCCCTCTCTCTCTTTCTCTCTTTGTATGAGTGCTGTAATTGTGTGACTTTGCATGTGTGTATCTGTGTGGGGCTGTGTGTCTGTATCAATCGGGAAGTCCCCCTCCCAGCACTCCAATCCCCAGACACAGCCGGTGCATGCTTGTCCTTGTATGTGTGGGTTTGTGTGTGTGTGTGTGTGTGTGTGTGAGAGAGAGAGAGAGAGAGAGAGAGAGAGAGAGAGAGAGAGGATGAGAGAGATAACAAGAGAGCAAGCAGGATCAAGCACTGCATGGGGTGTACTGCTGTGGGAGTGCATTCCAAACGCCTCCAAGTTAGGGATCATTTCCCAGCTTGTGAGTGTCATTGGTTTCCTTCCTCATTGTGTGTTCTTTGAGTTGAACTGGGACCATCAGATCCAGTAGACAATCTTGTTAGTTTGTTAGAGCCTGGGCCTCAGTAGGTGGTTCTGCATGTCCTGTAACTTGCTCTGTACACGAGGCTGGCTACTTATTGACATACATCGGCATGCCAGTGACTCCTGAGTGCCTATAATTAAGACCTGTTCAGACAATGTACTCTACTAGACCTGAAGACCTCTCTTCTTTCCTTCTTTCTGTCCTTCCTTCCTTCCTCCCTTCTTCCCCTCCTTGCCTCATTCATTCCTTCTTTTTCCCTCTTTCTTTCTACCTCCCTTCTTTCCAGTCCCAGGCAAAAGGTCTCATGGTGGGTAGAGACACGATAGGCTTGACAGCTCTTGTACAAGAGAGCATTTCATTGGGGCTTGCCTGCATTTGCCAACTTAGTCCATTATCCTTCATGACGGAAACATGGTGGCACTCAGACTGGCATGCTGATGGAAAGTAGCAGAGAACACTACATCTTCATGTCCAGACAGCAGAAAGTCAAAGTCCCTGAGTATGGCTGGGGATTTTGAAACCACAAAGCCAACCAACTGATTTCACACACCTTGACCACTGAAATATGGACTGAGCTACTGTAAGACCACACCCAAAAGCCTTCTCCTGTAGTCGCTATTCTATGCTGATTAAGCAGTGAACTCTATAAGCATGGATGGGCCATTGATTCAAAGCCATTATAATCCACTCCCTGACAAACTTAGCCTTGTAGTAGAAATGCATTCGGTCAAACTTCAAGAGTGCTTACACTCTATCATAGGGTCACCAGTGTTGACAAACAAACCTCTGCAGATCAAACACACACACACACACACACACACACACACACACAAACAAACAGAAAGAGCAAGAAAAACACTTTCAGAAAAGAAAGCAGTTCATTATATCTCCAAAATGAAACAAAATAAAATCCCTTTTCTGTGTACCAGGAGCACAGTAGTAATCTAATTTAACTGTGCTCATCAAATAGGAAACTCCACCCCCAATTAAATAGAGAAGGGATTATCTGGATCCAGAAAGACGATCCCAGCCATAATCCAATTTCATGGAAACTAGAACCTTGAAGTGTGTGAGGTCTGTCGCTGGATGTGGTAAAATGGCGGCAAAAATCTGCATATGCACACCGGAGCACACGAACACACACACAACACACACACACACACACACACACACACACGGAAACACACGCAGATGTACCTCCTCTGGTATGCAATAAACTGACGCTCCTCTATGCCCTCATACACACTCAAGGGGAGACAAAGAGAAAGAGAAGAAGAGACAGTAGAGAACCCCTACAGGGATCAGAGAGCATAATCCTGATTGAATTTCCGGGCCCAGTTTGGGTGTGGCTTGTGGATGGGCGTGGCCACAGTTCAGCTCTGGCAGACCATAAAAGCGCGTCAACTGTGCAACAAGGCACCTGTCGCAGTGACGTCCCTGAACGACTGAGGCAGTCAGAGGTGACTCTTGGTGACCAAGAGACATGGCTGAAACGGAATTTCGAAAGTTGGAATCCGTGTGTGCTGATGCCCTCGGCACTTCTCCGTCCAAGCCAAAGCAGCCAGGAGAGCAGAAGGGAGAAGAAACAGGAGGTAAGCCCGGCAGTATCTCTGAGGCCTCTGCAGTGAGAGAAGGTGGGCTGTGCATGGTAGCAGGGATTTGACAGACTGACTGGCTAGGGAAACAGAAGGGACGGGTCTGAGAGAGATGAGGAATGTGGGAGGCTGCACTGGGGCTACCATGGGGAAATCCCAAAATAGGTCGGTGCCCGAGGGGTGTTGGTGGGCCGGGTGGGTGAGCAGGACGGAGTGTGCACTGGTAAGGTGCTGGTTACTTGCCAATGGCTGTGCCGTGCTGGCTGCTGAGATTTCCTGGCGTCTGGATGTTCAGGGGTGGTACTAATTCGGTTATTTAGTTAGTTACTGATTTAGTTTGGCAGATCGGGAACATCCCAAGTAGCTGAGACTCTAGGGCAAACAGAGCGATTATCTAATCAGTCTTGGACCAAGGCTTTGTCAAGTGACATCTAAGAATTGCTTGGGGAGAAGGCCTAGGGTCTAATCACTGATCACCTCTTCTCACCTCAGGAAAGCGTGGACAGAGTCGCCAGGTCAAGGAGCCTAGGCACATGGGAACTAGGCCAAGCTCGGGTGGTTCGTCCCGCAGACTTCAGCACCACGGCTCAAGAGGCCACCTTGAAGTGAAGAGGAGGGCGAGCTTACCTCCCGACAGAGACAGAAGGAGGCACAAGCCCGAGTCTACCCCAGGAAAACAACACTGGGAAAGAGGTAGGTGTGGGCTTGGCCGTGCGGGGCTCAGGGGTGAGGGCAAAAGAGCCTCAGGAGGTAGGCCAACACTGGAGAGGGAGGACATGGGTGCTCATCCCTGGCTCCATCCATGGGGCTTCAAGTGCTAAAGAGCTGAGAGGACAGACAGGATGTTGGATGTGCCCTGCCTCGGGCCTGGTGAAGCAAAAGGAGCCCCTTCCGTAGCTGTGAGGGTGCGGGGGTGGGTGCTGAATTCTATGGGGTCTCCAAAGTGAGTAACTGACTCTATCTCTGCCACAGATTCCCATTCCAAGCACACAGGACAGCGCGTCAAGGACAGAAGGTCCCACCCAAGGTCTCCTGTGAGGCCAATCAAGCGCAGACGGTCTGGAGACACCACTGCAGCTGCAAACAACTCTCCCAAGAGGCGCACACAACATTTTCCAGAAGCCGGCTCTTCCAGGACACCCTCACCGCTGTCCAGAGTCATGGCCCGCATGGGTGCCTTGGAGGTGGCCCTGGAAGAACTGCGGGCCCCAGGCGGGGCCTTCCTGGCTGAGCCCTCGAGCAGCAGGGAGCCCGGGGTCTCACAGCGGGCATGGCTGTCTTGGCAGCTGTCGCATGCCGGGGCAGCGCTGCACTGGACGATGCACACAGTCAATGCCATCTTGGCTGAGAGGCTTGGCTTCCCAGATATCCAGGGCCTTGGGCCGAACTGAGCGGAGCCCTGCCGAGCCCTGCCGAGTCCTGCCGAGCCCTGCCGAGCCCTACCGAGCCCTGCCGAGCCCGGCGGAGCGCTGCCGAGCCCTGCCGAGCCCAGCCGAGCCCAGCTGAGCCCAACTGAGCCCAGAAGAGACCTGCCGAGCCCAGCCGAGCCCAGCTGAGCCCAGCCAAGCAGATCCCAGATGACGACATGAGAAGACGAAAGATGAGAGAAGAAAAGGGAAGACAAGAGAAACAGCATGTCTTGAGCCCAGATGAGGAGCCAAGAGACTCCACCTCAGAGCCTTGAGTCTGGTCGGCCTCAATGACACATAACCTGAATCTGTACGGTCCCCTGGAAAGAAGAGACACTGGAGACTTGGACTGTGCAAAGAGACCTTCGCTGCTGGTGACTACATTTCTACCTGCACGAGCTTTCGGGAAAAGACTCTGGAAAAGGACCCAGCTCTTAGAATGAAATCGGCAAATGGAACTTGGAGACATCCTACACACACTCTCCCACTCCTTTGGACAGGGTCACTCACTCATGCCAACTGGGGCTTGAAATTAGTTTCTTTCTGCTGGACTCGTAGGAACTGCCTGAAATCCAGACTGGACATGAGATCAGAAAACGGCACTGCCATCTACCTCGAACATGTTCCCTTGGGTATTGATCAACGTTGGGCCAACAACCACACACACTTCACCAGACTTTTCCTTCTCAGAGAGTGGGTCCTTGTGCTGGATTAAGTCTCACCCCTCCTTAAAGATTTAGGTTGTTGCTATTTTTAACATGCAGGAGCATTTTTGTTTTGTACAGCTTCATCATGCCTCTGTTTTTCACTCTTTTGTTTTATATTGTATCAAGATTTCATTGACCAACATAGAATGCTTGAGATATCCCTTCATCGCTCAATAAAATATGTATGCTTGTAACTATTTGTCTGTGTTGATTCACTACAAGTAAATCATAAGATATCTAATTTCCTTCATTCTCTCTCTCCCTCCATCCCCCCCTCTCTCTTTCTCTCTTTGTATGAGTGCTGTAATTGTGTGACTTTGCATGTGTGTATCTGTGTGGGGCTGTGTGTCTGTATCAATCGGGAAGTCCCCTCCCAGCACTCCAATCCCCAGACACAGCCGGTGCATGCTTGTCCTTGTATGTGTGGGTTTGTGTGTGTGTGTGTGTGTGTGTGTGAGAGAGAGAGAGAGAGAGAGAGAGAGAGAGAGAGAGAGAGAGGATGAGAGAGATAACAAGAGAGCAAGCAGGATCAAGCACTGCATGGGGTGTACTGCTGTGGGAGTGCATTCCAAACGCCTCCAAGTTAGGGATCATTTCCCAGCTTGTGAGTGTCATTGGTTTCCTTCCTCATTGTGTGTTCTTTGAGTTGAACTGGGACCATCAGATCCAGTAGACAATCTTGTTAGTTTGTTAGAGCCTGGGCCTCAGTAGGTGGTTCTGCATGTCCTGTAACTTGCTCTGTACACGAGGCTGGCTACTTATTGACATACATCGGCATGCCAGTGACTCCTGAGTGCCTATAATTAAGACC